AATCATTATGCTCCATGAAAATGAAAGAAAGGAATGACTGAGCAGCAGCTCTTATGTGGCTCTGATTTTTTCTTAAATTGTCAGGTATAAAGCACAGACACGGTTATTAGTTACGCATACCATTTTTTTGAAGAAATTGTGCCTGTGCTTTTTTTATGGGTATAGACCAATTGCATCCTAACAAGTGAGAAAGAATCTATGGGAAATGAAGGAAAGACTGCATCCTCAACTGCAGTTCAGGCAAAATGCAAAGTGCCTGTTGACGGACTTGAGAAAGGAAGAGTCAGAGAGAGTTAAGTATGCTCTGTTGTACAGGGGATTGGGCTGTGCCTTTAGAAGTTTCACCTCCACAACACCGAACTGAGGGGAATACAAGCTACTCATTCTGGAGAGATCTGTTACAGCCACCTCCACCAGACCTAAATCCGTGGTGCAAGAGTATACGTGCATCTCAGAGTGATGGTCTTGGAGCAGCACCCAGCTAGAGTGTACACCGATGACTGCAACAGGAGCCGGACCAGAGACCCAGATGAGGATCAAATTAGCTCTAGAAATAACCAGATTGACTCTTTCGGCTAAGCTGTGAAACGACGAGTCAGAAACTGCAGTTATGCCCAGAAGCGAGGCAGCAAGTCTCCAGGACACAGGCTGTGCTTGCTCTGAAGGATGGAGAGGCAGATTAAGCACAGGGAGTCCTACCGTAACACAAGCACTTTTCTTTAGTGAACGCGTAGCACTGAAAAGTCACTATGAAGAATCACAGGAGACACATTCATTTAAAATATCTATTGAAATTACAAATTAAACTCTTCAGTATGATTCAAAGTACAAAACACAACATTAAAAGGCATTCAACAGCTCTTTTATACATCACAGTGTTAGTGGCACAAAATGTACTTACATTTCAAATACATCAACAGAACTATTTTTACACTGGTCAAATACATTATTTATACATATGCATGACTCCTTCATGCTTATCCCTATAGAAGTTTAAAATACTCCCATGATAAAATGATACGAAAGGTTCAGTTATGTACCACATACCTGTACCTAATGTTCCTGGAATTCTTATAAGAGAGATACACAAATCAAAGCAATAATGAAGACCACAGGGCTCTAAACACAAACAGCATGCCTTACTTAGTATAAGTGCATTAGCAATTAATCACTGATGCAGGCTTTTTTGATGTCTCTAATATCACTGTCATCAAAAAACATATTCTATCTGTTTTCCTCAGGATTTTAGATTATGCATGTGAAATGTATAAATTTCGGTTTTAAAAAAGCAAATCTGCACAAAGCTTTATGCATGCTGCACCTCACTGGGATGAGAACGGCCTGTATTAAATATATTTATTCCTACACAGTAAAAGGCCTACAAGTGAACTGCACAAAACGTCATTTTTACTTTCCTGCCTATAACAATTTTAAATCAAAACCACTTCATCTTTTTCTGTTCTATGAAAATTTTATCCTGTCAGCTCCGTAAACAAGAGAGCTTTTCACCAATTTTGATTCTGTTTCCCGCATGTCAGGAGATCAGCTGTAAGCTGAAAGTTGATCCAGTCAGCTCTTATTTGGGATTCTGCCTCATTCATAAACTGGAATATTTGAGGAAAGATCATGCCACTTGGTATGTGGGGAAAGCATCCCAAGTTCTTGGCATGCTAAAGTCAGTAGTAGGAGGTTTCAGGATGAATGCCGACATGAATAAAATTGAAATATTAACATAAAACTACAGTAAGCATTTATACGTCATCTTTCCTCACAGAATCTTGAAGAACTTCAAAACCAACGAATTTGCCCTCACAGCCCTCCTGTGAGGTAGGTAAACATTGGTCCATCCGTTTAAAAGATGGTTAAATTGAGATAAGAGGAGACAAGTGACTCGTCCAATGTCACGTGGGGAAAACTCCAGTGCCCGCTGAAGGGGGTGCAGGCTGTGCGACCGACCTCTCCCAGGACCAGCGTCAGCCCCACTGATGAACGGCAAGTCTAGGGAGACGCAAAGCCTCTGGAGTCTGGCCTCCACGCTCAGTCCCATGCTCGCTTTGGACAGGACACCACTTTACCCCAACAGAACATGCTGTACTGTTACAAATTCCATTAAAAACAGCATTTGAGACAATGCAGAAAACCTAAATAATACCATAACCATAAAAATGTAACACAAGTCATGCACCGGATCTTATTTTTCTGCTGAAAGTCTAAAAAGCCAAAGCTGTTGTAACAGAATTTCATCTGAAAAGCGGGAGAGACGTTCACTTTTCTATGGTAGGGGGTTTAAATGTCAGAGTTTAAAATAATGTATTTACAGTTCAATTTCAGGGTATTAAATGTCACACAATGAACATAAGCTGTAACATAAAAATGCCCCAAACTTAATACATCACCACCAGAAGCTGCTACGTTTGAAACAAAACAGCATTAAAAGAAATCATAAAAACAAATGAAAAAATCCCCGAGAATACAGATGGACTGACATTTAGCAAACCTGAAGGGATTAGGTGTTTGGTAAATACATGTAGGCATATAGTCTATCCCAACAGCCAGGATGTGAAACAAGAGATACGTCATAAAAACCTCCAGTAGCAATTCAAGTACGTTGAGAACGGAGACAGAGATACATACTGACAGACATATACAGTTTTCTGATTATATACAATGTTATCTGTGAGCATTAATTATGAAATATCATTTTAAAGTGTCTTTATTTGTAAAGGACTTCTTTTTACTTCGTTTTTTTTTTCTTTTACATCTGGAAACGCCTTAGTTTTGACATTGATTATTAACTGGCCACACAGTGCCACGGAAAACTCAAGTTTCGCTATATTGCCACATAAAGGCTGTCTCTAAGAAAGGCACAGGGAAAATAATCCTCGTACCAGGACACTCTGGTACTGTTAACAGGCCATTCACCTCTGCTGTTTCCTACCATCCCAGGAGCAGAACTGGTCATTAGAGCCACTACCACATACAGCAAAATCCCTTAGTGCTCCCAATTAAAAAATTAACAATCCATGAAATCTTTACATCCTTTTGTCCAGTTTTTTGTTGTGGTTTTGTGTTTTTGGTTTTTTTTCCCTCCAGTTAAATAGAATTACAGGGCCAAGGATGGAAGGTCATATTTAAGCTTACCTGCAGGAAGCTGTCCTTCACAGAAGGATCTCCATTACTTCCGCACACTGATGCTGGGACTCGGGACAAGCGAGGCGCTCGGCTCAGGGTGCCTCTGGGGAGACGGACTGAGCCGCTGCCAGAGCCGGAGCGCGACAACCACTCCGCTGCCCGCTGAACACCCCTCGGGCGCTGGCAAAGAGTGATCGGACGTGCTATCCAGACTTCCCTCCAGGTATTTTTGATCAACTAAGCGATTTTTAATAACAAAGATAGCTAAAATAGTAGAAATACTGTGATAACAACAGATACTACAAGTAAAGATCTGAACTGTGCATTACCATAAACAATTGAAGGTATCACAAGGAGTTCAGACTTGCTGGAAATCAGCTATCCTTTTTCTTCATGTTATAATAGCTGAACTCATTAAAATCAAGACAAATAAGTGAACTGCAGATAACCTCCAGCTCCTGGAGCTATCATCTGTGGCTAGATACAGTTTGAATTTGTATACCATTAATCTTGGAAGAAGGGGAAGGAGAAGAAATTCAAGAGTAATTTTATAAAAAGACAGTGGCCCTTTTCAGAATTGTACCCTACAGTCTTTTTATTTAACAGATAGACAGTATAAAACGAAATATAATAAAGAAAGGAGTCATTTCCTTATGCTTGAGCTATGAAAACATATTCCCAGCCTGTGACAGCAGTCAGAAGCAGTTGCATTTAAGAGTCTTAATACATTTTGAGTGCAAAGTTATCCTGGCTTCAACATATTCATCCATCTCAGTACATTGATAATGCACAGAAATAAAGGATGATGAAAAAAACGTAAACTTCAGTCCACAAGCCTTTCAAAAGAATGTTTTCCTTCAGTATTACACACAGACATACACATTGCTTCAGGTGCTTCATATTTCATGCGAAGAACATTTTAGTCCAAACTCTTGTAGGCTTTAAAATCAGAGCAAAATGGTTTTCAACAAAATACTTCGAAAGAGAAACTACAATGACTAATAATATGTTGACTAGCACGCTTTACTACCCTGGAAACACAGCACTGTGAATTCCGCAAAACTATCAAATCAAGTGATTATTTTTCAAATGAAAACTCGTTTTGTCACAGCATTGTTATTAAAAGCATACACCATACATCATACGATGTTAACTCTGAGAATGGGCTAAGTAGTTTAAATGTAAAGTACAACTTCCACAAATATCCCAGGCATTTTTATTATTAACTACAGGGATAACCCTGATGTATTTTTATACTTAAAAGGAAAGATGTATTTTTATACTTAAAAGTTAGTCCTGTATTTTTTAATAATTGCTCTAAAGACAGAAGCAAGATATCTTGAAATTCCAAAATATTGCAATGGCACAGCTATTTACAAATTTGGTTTAAATAGGATCGTGTGTATATATATATCCATATAAAAAGATTAAGATACCTGGATTAGAAGTTACATAGCCCTGTAAGTGTAGCAGAACCCTAAACAACAGCAAAAAAATAACAATTCAGAAAAACACTAGTGGTCCAGTGGTAATCAATACCATCAATGCATTTTTAAAAGAACCTTGATTAGATAGCAGGTTTGTGTCACCACTCAACCTTACAGCTTCATCGATTAGTTTTTAAAATATACCTCTCAATCAAACAAATTTCTTATAAGACTTCAAAAAATCCTGGAAGGCAACAGGACCAACTTTGTCCCTCTAACCCTCCCCGAATTTCAAGAAAGGCATAGGATGGCCTATATGCACCTTATTGATTTTGTTATACTTGGAAAAATACGTACTAAAAAGGACACTGTGATGGCTTTAACAAAAACAGATGTGTAATAAACATGGTAAAGTCACACTAAGTTGACTATCTGATTTAGATGATAGGCAACTTAAATACATACAGGAATAAGACATCAAATTTTGAAGCAAACGGATATGCAGAAAGTTTAGATTTATATGCTTTTGGCTTGTTTTGCTGATGTCATTCAGCACAGTTCCAAGTCCGCCAGCAGGGCAACAGAGACTTTTTGCATTAATTTTAGCAGTATCACCTCTTCATTTCAGATAGCTACCCGGGTCCATGGTCTCCCTTGAGCACCAAACTTGCCTTCCATTACCCTCCTTGTCTATTATCAATTGATCTATGCAACAGTAGCAACAACGGTTCCTGGAACCAAGACTGTGTGTCAATGAAAAGCAGAACGGGGCAAGTAAGGCTACAGCAATGCAAGTGCAAGAGGGAAACATCAACAGCAACGACAAAATCAAAACACATGTTGTGACGAGTCCAGTTTTCTCTGTCTAGGTAGGTAGAGGGTCATCATCTCCTTTATTACATTTGCACTTGCAGCACAGAACAAATGGTGTAGCAAGTAGAAGGAAAGGGGAGGCCACCAGAAGTAGAAGACCGAATCCTGCAAAAATTCCTACCACCTGCAAGAGAGAATAGCACTGCGTTAGGGATAACGTCTAGATTCTGCTGACTCCAGTGTATCATCTATGTCCTTCAAAAGGATCTCAGCAAATGCCACTGACTTTACCAGAGCCAGGACTTCCCCCCAAGTGTGCGCTACAGTCAGCTCCTGTGATCAGTAAACGTGAGTGAATTCAGAGAGCAAACGTTCATATTTCATTGCTCCAGCCAGAACCGTGCCATGCCACGCAACTCAGTTCCATCACACAAAGTGAGGCAGATGAGTTACAGACTCCCACTTTCAGGTGCTCCCCTTTTTGCTGGAGAAATCTCCAAAAAGACTCAGTCAAGGTTTTGGTGGTGTTCATGGAGAATCTGGGAAGACTCCCACAAACCTCCCACCAGCAGGAACACAAGCTTGGGAATCTCAGCCATAGATTACAAACATTACGGACTATAGGAAGACTCTGCATATGCCAAATGACTTTTTGTGGTCAGACCTGAGCTCATCCTGCTGCTTCAGGGGACATGACCTAACGCTTTCTAAAAGCATTTTTTTCATTTAGATTTCTTGATCACCCTCCTCTCAGCATGGGCACAGGATCACAGACCTACCCATCCTGTCAGTGTGCCAAACTCTATTAGTTTCTACAGAGTTTAAATTTGGAAAATTATTAAAAAAACATACAAGTTGAGGTTCGTTGCCTGAGGAAGTTTCCCATTTGTCATCAGCAACTGTAAGAGTAATGCTGCAACAATATGCCTGCAAATTATTTGAGAAAAGAGTTTAGATTTTTTCACATGAGAGTCTCTGTGACTGATTTTGAATAATGAAGGCAGGAGTGGAACACTAATCTGTTAGCAAAACCTCACAACAGAAGGCAAAATGAAATTAGAGTGCAGTACTCATTAAAGAATTCATCTAGCCAGGGCTAGATACGCCGCTTCAACTAACTGGCAAATATTTAATTAGCCATAGTATAGATAGGATGATTTACTAGTACTTTCGTCGGCCACGGACGATTTCACGTTCTGATTACTGCGTATTTCTTTTCGCAATTCCGCTCTCCAGGGATCTTCAGACGGGCTGAGGGGAAAGGCTGGCTGCGGGAGATGGCGCTGCGGGACAGCAGTCACCGCCCTCAGGCTGCCGCCTGCCGCGCCGAATTCTTTCAGCCTTGGATTTTGGCTGTCCAGGGATAAGCAGCTCAAACTTCTTTGCCCTAAAAATCTTATTTCTTGCCAAGAACAGTGTCTTTTTCAGCTTCAGAGGCGTGCACATTTCATTACTCGCTCTTTTTTTGGAGATCCTGACAATCTGTTGCAACTTCCATTTACTTATCTTTGCATTTATTTACTACAGACATAAACCAAAGCTAAATTCTCAACTCCTTTAAAAACTGTGAGCTGCAGCTATTGCCATACTGCTCTTCGGAGACAGGATGCCCTTGCCTACCTCTTTGCAGCCCAGGTTGAAAGTGTGCTGGTCAGACAAAGCCAAGCTGGAAGTTAGCAATTCAGCGGACCGGGCTGACTATTGTAATTTTTATGACATATCTATTTACACCTTCCTTGTAGCCTCAATATGCCACCAAAGAATTCATTAAGTTTCATTTTGTTTGGTTTATTTTGTTGTTTGTTTTTCTTTGTGGGGTGTTTCTTTGTTTGGTTTTTAAACAAAACTGCCTGCTGAGTATTACTTATTTCCTACTTGGTTCTGTTGCTTCTGAAGAAGTTGTTGCCCTGCTCAGCATCAAGCCATTCCCTCTGGCCAAAACAAATATTTTTTTTTTTTAATCCACAAACAATAAACCAAAGGCTCACCTCAATTTGCCTTGGAAAGGAACTTAACATAAGGAAACGATTGCAATGTTGATTTGGCTTTAGTGGGTTTAGCAGAATTATATCCTGGCTGGTGGAGACTTGTCACTTTCTTTCTCAACAATGACCAGAAAATCAAACATACTGTCTACCAACCATATTTGCACTAACTCCTGTGGCTAAGAACAGATTCCAGATATCACACTAATCACATCATTTTACAGGTACATCAAGAAAGCTTATGTACCCACACACTTCCTAAGATACCACTGGCTAAGCCAAGCAAGACCCTGTCCACAGCTCAGGCACCCAGGGGTATATGCGGAGGGAGAGGGGTGCGATCCTTCTCCTTTTACTTCAGTTTACTGTTTTTAACTTCAGTTTAGCTGTTTGTCCAGACTTAAGGTTTATTCTCTAAACTTGGGGTTTATGCTCAAATGGAAGTAAATCTGTACTTCACAAAAAGCACTTCATCTCAAGCTGAGGTATGTATTTACTGGCACACAGTTAATTTAGGAATAGATGACTCAGATACCCAGATGTCCCTGTTTCTCTAAAGTGACTGTAAAGGCAGTTGGTTGGACTAAGTCACACACTGGCATTTATTTTGTGTGCAGTGAAGTAGTGCAGAGAGCTCTTCCATTACCAGCATTCACGCTGGGTCCAGCAAGGCTGAATCTAGACTACAAGAGGAGTCCCCACACTCTTTGTAACTGTCAGTCTGAATCTGTGTCTGGAACTACTGATAAGCTCACTAGGTTACCTTCCATCCACCCTCCATGAATGAGTCAACTGGAGCCCATAGCAAGATACTGAGCATACTCGGGCTAATTCCTTTCCAGTTATGGATCCAGGGCTAAAGATCCCTTGCAGGATGAGCTTTCCCTGTTAATAGTACGGATGGTGGCAACCTGGTTTGTCCTCCAGGCTGACTGAGAACATATCTGGATTGGCACTTAAAATGCCTCTTCAAATGAACCCTTTCTAGTTTCCAGCAGCTTTCTGCCAAGGAGTGTCCTCTCTGGGAGATCTAACTGTTCCTCTCCAAGCTACTGCCCTCTTTAGATCTGCTATGAAAATCAGTTGCCATTTGGCACAGAATTTGCCCTAAGGTGTTAAAATTAATAAGGCAAAGGAAAGCACTACGGCAGTAGTAGACCTGTACAGAGCTTTTAAAGATCTGAGCTTTACCTGTGTTCTGTGCCAGATAACAGACGCCCTGGAGTGTCCCAGCTTGTTTCGACAAGGTCCTTTGTCATAATGTATAAGGAGAAAATCATCCTACAAAATATTAAATGAAAAGGTAGGTAAGAAACAGAAGTACAAACTTCTTCATAGTTCTTCATAGTTCATACATAACTTCTTCAAGTTATAAAATATTATTTCCTGAGAACCTATAACCAGGAATTGTACAGGAAGGTAAAAGCTTAGTAAAGTGGATATGGCCAAGTCCAAAATTTCCAAAGTGATTTGTTTACAGTTAAGCATCTTCACAAACAGCTTTGTTTATGAAGTGTTGTATACCTATAGTGAATCTTCTCCCAAAGGCTCTCAAGCTGCATATTTAAGTGCTAGTATGGAGTTTAGCAAGAGGATCCAAGAAAATAAGCTGCTCATTGCACATCTTTTACACACGTACAGAAAGAGCAAAGGAAAATGAATACTTCTACCGCAGACTTCCCAAAGTTGCTTCCTTTTACTAGCTGAAGAATAAAAGGACAATACAGATTTTTGAGAAATTATTTTCCTATCTGTCTGCCATCCTTTCACAAACCAGCCAAGATAGCAGGCCTAGGACCAAGGGAACACTGCTTTCTAACTGAGCACGTAAGAAGCCTGTGACCTGAAGGACTGTTAGTAAAGCATTCAAATGGGACCACCACAGGATTTCAACAGGCAGAGTAGCTTTCAGGAACTTAAAACATTTCCTTTGCTATTGTTAGCGATGCTATAAAATAAAATAGATGGAAAAAAAAACCCACGGAAACAGATGTTGTGTATTGTATATACTCTGATCCTTGGGCACGATAACAGGCTGATTTAAAAAAATATAAACATATGACAGCAGCAGCTTACAGACTGACAAATTCCTGGTGTTAGGAGAACTTTGTATTCTTTTACATATGTCAGATCTATTTCTTGTCCCACAGAATACAATGAGTGGTAAACAAATCTGACTGCTACACTCCTGCATGGTGACGCACCAAATTTAGAATTTGTCTTATAAACTTCCACAGACTGAGAACATTGCTATACTCATCCTGTAACTCCTTCAAGAAGGGGAACATTGAAAAGCCAGTACTAAATGAAGTATCATTTAAAAAAAAAAAAAAAAGCACACCCTCCCCATGTTAGTTACCATGTAAAGATTGCAAACAACATTTTCATAAAATTTTACTTCACAATTATTATTTCCTGACTCACATAGGCAAAGTGCTAAGATCACAAAGGTCAGACAAGTCAAATCCTATCAAATTACTAGTGTCAGCTCTGGTAGGTTGTGGTGCATCAAGCTGGGCAGGAGCTAGTGAGCTACTATTTAATTGATTAATGAGAGAGCTGGATAGCAAAGCAATGAACTCCTAAGCTTCTGAGAACCAGAGTGCACGGCATGTACTCACATCAAGAGATTCCAGACAGTACCAGCAAAAGGCGTGTTTGCAGTTCTTACACATCATTTGGGCACAACCTTCATCTCGTTCAATGTAAACTTTACACTTTGGACAGCGTTTGATTGGAGCATCATCATCTTCCATTTTAAAAACTGAACTGTGGGAGAGTGTGAGGTATTAATAAGATGTGTGGCCATGGAGAAGAACTTGTAAGAACTGTGCTAAGAAGGTAAGCCTACTTTTTTATTATTTGTCTGTGCTCTATTTTTCAGACATATATCTAGAAAAAAATGTTAAATGACTACAGTGTCTACACAAGAGTCAGGACATTTTCTTTACCACATATTTTATCAACTGTTTTTGTTATCTAGTGATACTAACAGATACTATACATTTTCCTCCTGAAATATATCAGATGAGCAGCAGCTAGTTCACAGCTAAGTATTTTGTATCTCTAGATCATTTTTCTTTTTCCTTCTTTCTTTCTCAGAAAAGAAGAGGAAGCAATCCCTTGATGGCACATCAAGCCCAGACTACATTCCTTTGGACTGGGACACTAGGGAGAGATTGCTTGTCTCTGCCATCCTTGAGGATCCTCCCTAGGAATTTCCCTCCAAACCAGGAAACATGAGGTTTTTGGGGCATGCCATTCCTTCAGAGCTGATCCTTTCATCTCTAACACTGTCCTAACAAGTCATGGTTCATGAGGTAGGATCAGCACTGCCTCTTCTTGCCTTGCACGACTATGCAAAACCATAGGATGCCCCCTCATATAGTGGGCACAACACAGAGGAATGTGGAAACGCGGGAAGAACATTTATTTCTCTTGAGTAGCTTTCTACCTGCACACCAACAACTAAAATGTACCTTAACAAATGATGCTTCCTGCAGCCACTGCCAGTGGGAGATAGAAGAATGACTGATGGGGAACCAACAGTGCTGGAAAACAGGACTAACCCTTGATTGATTGATTTGCCCAATGGCAGGATAAAAGGACACACACTCATTAGTCACACTAGTGGCAACCATATTACAGAAAAATGCTTGGAATCCATACACTGTATACGAAACTCCAAATGCATGCTAGCATAAACTGTTACTGGCACATTATTCTCCCAAATGGTGAAAAAAACGCCGTCAGTGGAGTAAAAATTGAAGCATGAAATAAAAACTAAAAGCAACCAAAACACTAAGGACAATAGGTTCAGTTTTCTACCTTGTCATGAAGTTTAGTGAGGTTCAGTTCTGGTCAAGCACACACAAAAAGCACATGCAAGAGTTACAATATTTGACCAAGAACACATTTCTATAAATATATTAGCATTAACAAGAAGAGGGCTAAGGACAATCTCCATCCTTTATTGGATGCCGGGGGAAACATAGTGACAAAGGGTGAGGAAAAGGCTGAGGTACTTAATGTCGTCTTTGCCTCAGTCTTTAATAGTAAGACCGGTTGTTAATCAGGAAGGTCCCAGTTGACTGGAAGTTAGCAAACATGACACCTATCTACAAGAGGGGCCAGAAGGAGGATCTGAGGAACTACAGGCCTGTCAGCCTGACCTCGGTACCAAGGAAGGTTATGGAGTAGATAATCTTGTGTGCCATTACGTGGCACATCCAAGACAACTAGGTGATCAGGTCCAGTCAGCATGGGTTTATGAAAGGCAGGTCCTGCTTGACCAACCTGATCACTTTCTGTGACAAGGTGACCTGCCTAGTGGATGAGAGAAAGGCTGTGGATGGATCTACCTGGACTTCACTAAAGCCTTTGACGCCGTTTCCCACAGCATTTTCCTGGAGAAACTGGTTGCTCATCACTTGGACGGGCATACTCTCTGCTGGGTAAAAAACTGGCTGGATGGCCGGGCTCAGCGAGTTGTGGTGAATAGAGTAAAAACCAGTTGGTGGCCGGTCACAAGTGGTGCTCCTCAGGGCTCAGTTTTGGGGCCAGTCTTGTTTAATAACTTTATCGATGATCTGGATGAGGGGATTGAGTGCTCCCTCAGTAAGTTTGCAGATGACACCAAGTTGGGTGGGAGTGTTGATCTGCTGGAGGGTAGGAGGGCTCTGCAGAAGGATCTGGACAGGCTGGACCGATGGGCAGAGGTCAACTGTATGAGGTTTAATAAGGCCAAGTGCCAGCTCCTGCACTTGTGACACAACAACCCCATGCAACGCTATAGGCTTGGGGAGGAGTGGCTGGAGAGCTGCCCGGGAGAAAAAGACCTGGGGTGCTGGTGGACAGCCGGCTGAACATGAGCCAGCAGTGTGCCCAGGTGGCCAAGAAGGCCAACAGCGTCCTGGCCTGTATCGGAAATAGTGTGGCCAGCAGGAGTAGGGAAGTGATCATGCCCCTGTACTCGGCACTGGTGAGGCCGCATCTTGAATGCTGTGTTCAGTTTTGGGCCCCTCACTACAAGAAGGATGTTGAGGTGCTGGAGCATGTCCAGAGAAGGGCAATGAAGCTCGCAAGGGGTTGGAGAACAAGTCTTATGAGGAACGACTGAGGGAACTGAGGTTGTTCAGTCTGGAGAAGAGGAGGCTGAGAGAAGACCTTACTGCTCTCTACAACTACCTGAAAGAGGGTTGTGGTGGGGTGGGTGTTGGTCTTTTTTCCCAAATAATAAGTGATACATGAGAGGAAATGGCCTCAAGTTGTGCCAGGGGAGGTTTAGATTGGATATTAGGAAAAATTTCTTCAGCAAAAGGGTTGTCAAGCACTGGAAGAGGCTGCCCAGGGAAGTGGTTGAGTCACCATCACTGGAGGTATTTAAAAGACATGTAGATGTGGTGCTTAGGGACACGGTTTAATGGTAGACTTGGCAGTGTTAGGTTTACAGTTGGACTTGTTGATCTTAAGGGTCTTTTCCAACCTAAATAATTCTATGACAGCATCCTACGTAGTCATTTGTTACAGCAAAGCTTGAAAGAAGACATGTTAGGAATAGCTAAGTTCAAGGCTGGCCATGGCTTTAATGATACCTTGAACTGCTATACAATCTTTGAAAAAGCCCAAATATTAAGTGGAACACATGCACAACAGCCTTTCTTATTCATTGGCTGCAGTATGCCACTGGAAACAGCTTGAAACAGAACTTAAGATCATCGGCCAAATGTGCAACAGTTAGGATGATTGACAGAGTATCCTAAAAATCACTGTCTGGCATGATGTTTCCAACTCTCATGCTATCCAGAACAGCAGCAGCAACAAGATCTTCTCTGAAAGGAAGCTCACGAGCTGCCTGGATATCATATTTTTTCCCACTGGGGCAAAAAGGCAGCTGATAAAGGCTTAAGGAGCTCCTTTGTGCTTTGCCGGGAATGGTGGCAAGGAGTGAGGCTGCCAAGAGCTATCCAGTTTTGGAATACAGCATTAAAAGAACAGGAACAATGAAGTGAAGGAAACAGTTTTAAAACAAAATATCAGGAAAATGCCTCTTTACTATTCATACTCTGGTTTGTTCAAAGATCAAGTGTTTTGTTTTTAAATACTTGATCTTTTGCAATACTTTACCTTGTTTCTCCTGGAAGAAAAGAGATTGGCATGTTCTCTTGACAGCCTTGACCTGGATGCCAATTAGATTTGCAAGCAGAGCAGAACTCAATGTCACAGGCTTTGCACTGGACAAGCTGGGGGTCCTGTGGGCTTGATTCCTGGAGCTGGCAAACTGCCTGGCAAGTAGAGGATGGACACCAAGTCCGACATGGATCCAAAAGCACTTCTGTAAAGGGGCATAAAAGAACAGAATCCCAAGACAGTTACAAGACTGGCCTTCCATAACACTGTATTCCAGCTAAGGTTGGCTAGCAGGACATTTGAAGACACACATTTTCAAAAGAAGCCTTTTAACTTATGCTACCCACTTAGACATAATGCTGGCCTGCTTTGCAAACAGGCACCAAACTAAAGTGAGTTTCCAGAGTTTGAATCAATCGCCCACTTTCATTCACTGAATGAAACTTATTCTGAGAATGAGATGATGTGTTTTTCTTCAGTTGTACTTGAAGTTAAACAGAGCATACATGACACGGGTATAAACCATGAGAAAGTGTTTTTACAGTGCCTTGCCCAGTAGGACTCCACTTCAAGTTGGTCTCTCCCCTAATGTAACCACACGATTAACAGTAGTATAAGACTGTTAGACAATTTCCTCCCTTTCTTGTGGGCTGCTTACTGGTTAAGTCATTTGATGAAGTCAATAAAAACCTACCAATGACTTCACTGGTTTCTAGGCTGGGTCCTGCCCCCAGCAAAACCTCACTGTAAGTTCTCTATGGCCACACAGTTCCACACCCCCACAGGCACCCACTCAGCTTACAGCCCCATAAAAATTAACAAGGTTCATGTTACCGTTACACACAGAACTGCCTAATAATTCTGCACCAGATGCCATCACAAGAGACAATGGTGGTTCAATAAAAGGGGTCAGCACCTCCCCAGCCCCTAGAATGCTGGTAGTCAACTCAAACAGCAAAGCTCTAAGTAGAAGTCACTCCCTCCCTTAGTTATAGCGCAATATAATACATAGTAATTTAGTTAGTTTATTCACAGAATGTTGCAATTCTGGGAATCAACGCAGGCAAGAACAGAAACAATGCTCTGGGTTTTTTGGGTGTTCTTTTGTTGTTTTTTTGGGGGGGTAGAGGGGGCAGGCAGGAGGGGTGATGACCAAACAACTAATGCATAACGCTACTGCATGAACATGTGCACAGACAGATTCTTTTTTATGGGATGGCTCTGGAGTGATAGCCAGTGATGCCCTGATTCCCGCAGCCTTGCAATGGGTGGTGTTACATGCGTTACCTCTTTCAAACTGTAGCTTCTTATACCTTTGCATGATTTCTGACGCAACCATGCACTCAATCTGTTGAAGGAAGGAAAAGACAAATTTCCAATTAGGAAGAGCAATAAACTAAGGCATTTTCAACAAATGGAGAGAAAATATTTGACCTTTAGAGAATTATTAAAAGCATATGTTGGCAACAGTGGCAGCTGTAACATACAGACTAAGACACATTTAGCCTGGAAAGGAAAGAAAAAAACCCTATTTGCAGTAAAAGTGTACCTCATTTTCTTGCAGATGACCTCGCTTTGGGCAGGCAGCATCAGGGCAGCTGATTGCTGTTTCTAGACCTTCTTTGATCAAAAGTTCCACATACTGTTTTAGGCACTGTAAGAGAGCCAAAGACTGAGTTAACTATCCCAACCAAGAATAAACCACCCAGTATTTTAACAGCTTTCCTATGAAAATCTGAAGAACTCAAACTTCTTTGAAAAAACAGATACTACCATGTCCCCTTTACAACCATGGGCCATACTCACAGCTTTTGCTATGGCTACACCTTTGAATAGAAAGCAGCAAATTCATTTCCCCATCAAGTAATTCCTCAATTTAAAATATGCATCAAATTAAAAAAATAACAATAATGGGGAAAAGGACAAATCAAACAGGGAGCTAGAAGGGGAAAAAAATAATAAAACGCCACCAAGATAAAATTAGATTAACCACACTCCAAAAATCTTTATGTGACTGGAAACCACAACACAGCTTAGTAAGCAGTAACTACCCATAGACAGACATCTGTCAAACATACCAGAGAGCAAAACGGAGTGGTGTATCTTGCCTTCTATTTCTGGAAAATAACTATCTGAACTTCATGGTTAAAGATATATCTTTTCCATAGGAAGAAAAAATGTGATAATTAGGACTCCCAGAAGAACCAGTTTCCATGGGAACCAAATAATAAATACTGGTAATACTAATACTTTCCTCCCCTAGCAACCACAGCATTTTACCCAAGTCATAATTGAAAATGTAGCATCTAACACAGTAGTGCACAGCATGGCGGTCAACAAAAGAGAAAAGAAAGGTGGATATATAGACTAAGGGCAGATTAAGACCAAACCTTTTTATTCTTGAAAAGCAATCACCCCCTCCACCCCCACACTTCCCACATCAAGGTGAGAGCTACCACACAGGTGTCTGCTGGGGAGGCATGGGGAGTGATGGAGAGATGGAGATACCCTTCTCCCTGCAGATACTGTGCAACTTCTACCAGCCTGAGGCTACACAGAGGGAACAAATGAGGGTCTGCTTTCCAGCAGATGAGTCACCCTCGGTGTTCTCACCCTGCTTGTGAGCTCAGCTGGCAGCAGCAAACTGGAGACAACTACAGAAAGTAGGTCCCTAACTCTCTGTTACCAGATGTCAATAAAGAGTGAGGCTAGACCAAAAGCAGAGTGAAATCAAGGTAGAAAACAAGCTCAGCATACAGCTGGGTGGGAGGCGAGAAGGATTACACACTCTGCAGCAAGCTGGCAAAATGGGGACTTCAAGTACCATTTCCAGACAGAACTTGCAAAAGGTATGCACCCCCCGACTCGCCATCAGCCTGGGAAGGCAAAGGGCTGCATCGACCTTGCTGAGTCCAGCGTGCCTAACGGCAGGTCAGAGCACAAAGCCACTTCTTCCTTCCAACCACGCCACCAAACAGGCCCACCAACAAGCACATTTCCAGCCTAACCCTTTGCATGTGGCTTGTAGCTGCTAAGGTCCAGACTTTGAGTCTACTCATTCAGCCTCTTCTCTTTCTCTTCTGCCTCTCGATATGTCTACTCAGCTCCCTTCAGAGACCCTATCACCCATATTCACATTTTATTCTAGATTTTACTTCTCGCAGCTTGATTGCAGCAAAAACTTCACTTCCTGCCCACATAATTTCTGCTGCCCTGGTACACAGCTTTTCTGGTGGCAACATGCCTCCACCTTGATAGCACAACAAAACATTTCTGTCAGAGCCCCCTTCCCTGCATCTCCTACTCAAAAGAGACAACAGGTCTATTTTTTGAAAAAGAAAAACAGAGACTGGATAGTTTATATCTTTAGAAGTTCTACACGTGTACAAAAATCCACATGTGATAAATTATATTCTATGTCTTCCTCTTTATCAGCAGGGATTTAATGAAGACAACTGTTCACTTAGTGGATGTTTGACTTGCAGAAGGTTTCCAAGCCTTCACTTAGAGCTCTGCACGGTGGGTGGTGGAGCAGTTCTAGAGAACCACTAGTAGCAACTACAGCAGGCTGAGCTCTGCAAGAACCAGGTCCTAGGATGCATGCCTTGGCAAACGCGTGATTTCAGCTGTAGCGAGGTACTAGTGTTGCCATAATGACACTGCTGGCTCATCCCTTTCCCCTCCATCTGCAGACGCCAAGTGTGGATTAAAATGGAAATGCATACATTTTTAATGCCAGCACTTAGCACTTATAGAAAGTACTTTTCAAGCTGAACGAGCTTTGCCATCATTAATTATTAATGTGGTTAATTCTCTTCCTCAACCTGTTTGGGAGCACTGCCAAAGCCTATCTGATGTGTCTCCCTTTCCTCACATCTTCCAAGGAATGACAAGTTCATCCCTGCCACGAGCAGTGTCCGAGGCCGCCTCCTCCCCCTGACGTGGCCCTGGCCCCTAGCTCCTCAAAGCCAGACAACGCGCACTTCTTATGCTACAATGCTGAGAAGCCAGGTGCTATCCTGAGGCCATGAAACACCATTGCAGATTAGCAAAGGATAAAACACTCTGCCCACTCAAGACTTCCCCACTCCAGAGACTTCTCAAGTGGAGAAGGAGTAATCCAAAGTGGTTGCAAGAGAACTTGAAGCACAGGGTAGCTGTGGCTTCTCTTGAGAGCAGACACAAGATGTGCCACTTGTGTCAGAAAATTTTAAACTGGCGACAGTACTAGAAATGCACCAGCATGCAAGCAAAACCGTGCAGTAGGATTAGGTGCTCAGTTATACACTATGAAAAATTCATTACAAAACAACTACAAAAAGATGACAAATAAATTGTTGCTCATTTTCTATGCAGCTTGTAGTTGATCCCATGCTGGAAGAAAATACCTTCATAGCCTATCCATTGAGGCAATGAAGTACAGTATAGGATGAACAAAAACTGTGGGAGTGTAAATCACCCCAAACAACTTTCAAAATGAACTGTATTACATAATTTTTCTCAGAGAAGACAGGAGCTGAAATTAGGTACCTAAGGGCTGAGGTTGGAATGAGGTCACAAGATATCCTTCTTGTCGTACATTGACCCTTACGAAACCAATATGCTGAGGAGCATCTTTATTCCTCCTTTAATGGACGTGTGTCAAAGGAAAGTTACTTCTATTTGAAGCAAGGCTTTTGCTAAATTTCACTTGTTTCTTTCTTTAAAAAATACTCATTGTATTTCAGTAATTAAATAACTAAATATCATTTAAGTATGTCACACTTGGAGATACTCTAAACCTATAAAAAACTGATGGTGGTTATTCTCTACAATTCTGCTTACGTATATAGTCTGACATGATGAAGTCAGGATAAGACTTGGCAGTTCACAAAAAATAACTCTTTACTGAATTAAGTAGGTCATAAGAGGAAACGTTTCCTCTGCATTCAGTTTTGTGCTTCTTTTCTGTACTTTGACAATCTTCACCCAGAATAATGAAGACCTGCCTATCCAGCAAGCAAAGGACCAACTCTGTAAGTTTTTAACCATTAGTTGAGCTACAGTAACAAACCATGTGTCTGCTCCTACTCTTTTCCCAATCCAAAACTAAAACACGTCAGTTTATAATAATCGCTAGGCACATTACTCTGCATTATGTTGCAGTTGCAAGAAGAGAACAGGTAACCGTACTAGCTTAGATTCCTGTCCAGCATGCGTACTCTTAGCGTACCAAATGACTCAGGGGAGGAAAATCACAGAATCGCTGAGGTTGGAAAGGACCTTCAAGATCACCAA